GAGTTGCCGCCATGTGATTGGCTGATTAGAAATTAAGTGTTAACGAGCAGTTGGACAGGTGTACCTAATAAAGTGGCCGGTGAGTGTATATGTCTATAGTTAAGTATAATGTGTATCTTTCTGTATATTGTGTGTACATTATATGTAAAGTATCTGTGTAGGGTTAATACCACAGACACAAACAGCCAGAAACTAATTCTTTGTGTGTCAACATACTTGGCCATAAACCTGATTCTGATCAGGTTTACTGATGATGTCAGGTACATGACATCATCAGATTCATGACATCACAGCTTCATGACATCACAGCTCCATGTGATGATGGCTGACAGCCTTCTGGACCTCCACCATCAGCTGTAAAACACCTCAGATCCATCAGAGAGCTTCAGGTTCATTTTTTGGAGTTTTATTCTGAAAGTTGTTCTTATATGTTGGATTTGTTTTAGATCTTATCATTTTTATTGGATTTCTTTTATTTTTATTCCTTGTTTTTACTTTGAAGTTTTAACATGTCTGCTGTGAACAGAACTTTGTGTCTGATTGTTTAAAGTGTAAAAACAAATAAATATATAAATAAATAAATAAAGCTGGACTGGATTAATCCAGGTTTTATTCTGGATTAACCTGGGCTTCATCCAGTTTAAACCTGACCCTGGTTTTCAGTTTGGTCTGATTTTAATCCCGACCTGTTGTTTTAACAAACATTTCACCTGCTGAAAGAAAAGGTTTTAAACCAGGTTCTTATTCAGGTCGTTTGGACCCAACATGATGTGGACAGAACCATTAAGACCAGCTCTTATACTGGGTAAAGCTTTCCGTTTGGACCAGAACCAGCTCCTGACACGGTGCTCTACACCCTGGACCATGACTACTGACCCGGTCCCGGGTGGAACCAGCTGCCCGGTACCGTAGCCCCGAACCCGAATATGTCCAGCTGGACCCAGGTTCCGAACCGACGGAACAAAACAATGAAACAAACTAGCAAAGGTCCYGCTTCCCTCACATGTCCAAACACTCACCTCCGACTGCTGCATGATTTCCGCTTGACGCAGCACGTACGCATGTTACGTCATGACGTCGGTCAGCTGGCAGCACGCGTCGGTTTGTTTGACTCAACAGTTTTACATAGAAATGAATAAGATGTCTATGGTTTTATAATCAGGTAGAAAACAAAACTTATTAACTATTAACAATAAATAAATAAATAAATAAATAAATAAATAAATAAATAAATAAATAACAT